ATTCAAAATGTGGCCCGGGAATGGTGTTCTGGGAACACGAAGAACACGAAGTGGCCTACGGTTGGCTCCGGGCATTCACAATGTGGCCCGGGAATGGTGTTCTGGGAACAAGAAGAACACGAAGTGGCCTACAGTTCGCTACGGGAATTCAAAATGTGGCCCGGGAATGGTGTTCTGGGAACTCGAAGACCACGAAGAGGCCTACAGTTGGCTCCGGGCATTCAAAATCATGCCCAAGAATGGAATTCTGGGAACTCGAAAACCATTAAGTGGCCTACAGTGGGCCCCGGGCGTTCAAAATCATGCCCGGGAATGGAATTCTGGGAACTCGAAGACCACGAAGTGGCCTACAGTTGGCCCCAGGCATTCAAAATCATGCGCAAGAGTGGAGTTCTGTGAACTCGAAGACCACGAAGTGCGTTACTTTTGGTAAAACATGGAGTTCCCGGTTTTCCGCGGCACTATCAGTCTTCGCTGTTAGGTAATAGAAGCAAAGAGAGAGAGAGAGAGAGAGAGAGAGAGAAAGAGAGAGAGCGAGAGAGAGAGAAAGAGAGAGAGAGAGAGAGAAAACCAAAAAAAACGAGAGCCTGTCGCGAAGGAGCGCGCGCGCGGCGTTCTTCCTCGAAGGCCTGGGAGGGGGGATCCGCGTAGGCTGGACCCCCCCCCCTCCCTCACGAGCCTCAGCCTCAGCCTCAGCCTGCCTCAGCATCAGCCTGCCTCAACCTCAGCCTCAGCCTGCCTCAGCCTCAGCCTCAGCCTGCTTCAGCCTCAGCCTCAGTCTGCCTTCAGCCTCAGCCTGCCTCAGCCTCAGCCTCAGCCTCAGCCTCAGCCTCAGCCTCAGCCTCAGCCTCAGCCTCAGCCTGCTCAGCCTCAGCCTCAGTCTGCCTCAGCCTCGGCCTCAGCCTGCCTCAGCCTGCATCAGCCTCAGCCTCAGCCTCAGCCTGCCTCAGCATCAGCCTGCCTCAGCCTCAGCCTCAGCCTGCCTCAGCCTCAGCCTCAGCCTGCTTCAGCCTCAGCCTCAGTCTGCCTTCAGCCTCGGCCTCAGCCTCAGCCTGCCTCAGCCTCAGCCTGCATCAGCCTCAGCCTCAGCCTCAGCCTGCCTCAGCATCAGCCTGCCTCAGCCTCAGCCTCAGCCTGCCTCAGCCTCAGCCTCAGCCTGCTTCAGCCTCAGCCTCAGTCTGCCTTCAGCCTCGGCCTCAGCCTCAGCCTGCCTCAGCCTCAGCCTGCATCAGCCTCAGCCTCAGCCTCAGCCTGCCTCAGCATCAGCCTGCCTCAGCCTCAGCCTCAGCCTGCCTCAGCCTCAGCCTCAGCCTGCTTCAGCCTCAGCCTCAGTCTGCCTTCAGCCTCGGCCTCAGCCTCAGCCTGCCTCAGCCTCAGCCTGCATCAGCCTCAGCCTCAGCCTCAGCCTGCCTCAGCATCAGCCTGCCTCAGCCTCAGCCTCAGCCTGCCTCAGCCTCAGCCTCAGCCTGCTTCAGCCTCAGCCTCAGTCTGCCTTCAGCCTCGGCCTCAGCCTCAGCCTGCCTCAGCCTCAGCCTGCATCAGCCTCAGCCTCAGCCTCAGCCTGCCTCAGCATCAGCCTGCCTCAGCCTCAGCCTCAGCCTGCCTCAGCCTCAGCCTCAGCCTGCTTCAGCCTCAGCCTCAGTCTGCCTTCAGCCTCGGCCTCAGCCTGCCTCAGCCTCAGCCTGCATCAGCCTCAGCCTCAGCCTCAGTCTGCCTCAGCCTCAGCCTGCCTCAGCCTTTGCCTGCCTCAGCCTCAGCCTCAGCCTCAGCCTCAGCCTGCCTCAGCCTCAGCCTCAGCCTGCTTCAGCCTCAGTCTGCCTTCAGCCTCGGCCTCAGCTTTAGCCTGCCTCAGCCTCAGCCTGCCTCAGCCTCAGCCGCAGCCTGCCTCAGCATTCAAAATGTGGCCCGGGAATGGAGTCCTGGGAACTCGAAGAACACGAAATGACCTACAGTTGGCTCCGGGCATTCAAAATCATGCCTGGGAATGGAGTTCTGGGAACTCGAAGACCACGAAGTGGCCTACAGTTGGCTCTGGGCATTCAAAATCATGCCCAGGAATAGAGTTCTGTGAACTCGAAGACCACGAAGTGCGTTACTGTTTGCTTAAAACGAGTTCCCCGGCATCCCCCCGGCATCCTCCCCCGGATCGCGCCCAGACCCTCCTGGGGCGTCATGATGCTCTCTTTTGACCATACTAGAAACCTATCACTCTTCGCTGTTAGGTAACATATTTTTTTCGCCATCGGGGATGCCTGTCCCAAGTAGGCTGGAAGGATTGCGCCCCCACGTGCCGCCGTGGGGCAGAAGCTCTCTGGCCGCCCTGGGACGGGCGTCCCCGATAGCGACACTGCTCCTGTTATATACCGTTGCTCGCCCACCTGATGTATGCAGAACCGAATCCTGATCGCCGCGCGAGTTACCAGCCTGGAGCATATCCCTATCCCTATGCTGGGCATCTCCTCATCACGATGCCAATCTTAGGGATTCCCTTATCTTTTGAGGGCGCATCCCTGAGATTGTCATCGCTTTTTGGCGCGTCAACCTTAGGGATAGGGATGAGTTCGAGGCTGGTAGGCGAGGCCACGATTGCCAGCTGTGTGGTGCAAGGTCGAGGCATCCCCGGCGTCTGGCGCCGGGCGCGGGAGGGCAGCGGCGCTGGGCCCGCAAAGACGCACGCCGGACCGCCGAAGCTCCTGCCGTGGCGACCTGCGCGGTGGCTTCCGACACCGCAGGGGTCGCTCCACCTCACAGTGTGGGAGCTCGGCCACGCGAGACCTGCCACAGGAAGACCAAGCCCGAGGTCCCAGGACGCCAGGGATCCTGGGTGCGGGAACGCCGCGCTCTCCACAGCAGAACCACCGACACCCCAAAAAACCCAGAGCACCCTGGAAAACCAAGCCCGAGGCCCCAGGACGTCATGGATCCTTGGTGCGGGAGCGTCACGCTCTCCATCGCAGAACCACCGACACCCAAAAAACCCAGGGCAGCCTGGATCGGGGGCGTCCATGAGGGGGGTGTCCACGAGGGTGTGTGTGTGTGTGTGTGTGCAAATCATGGCCGGCGGCATGTGCGTGGCCCAGGGGTGGGGGGCCAGGGACGTGACGAAATGAGACGGGGCGCCATGCAATCTGAGGAAATACCATGGCCCCCGCCACGATATTCCCCCCCCCCCCCCCTAGTCTTAAGTCGGGCCTGTCCCCCTACAGGGGGATTTTCGACGAAAAATAAATAATACCCCAACAATATTCCAAGAAAGGTAAAAAATACTCAAAAAATGATCCCCAGACTATTCTTGGACTATTTTTTGACAATTTTTGGGGTATTTTTTATTGTTCGTCGAAAATCCCCCTGTAGGGGGACAGGCCCGCCTTAACCCTGGTCGTCCCCCCCCCTCTTTGCCGCCCCGGACCGGCGGCAGGCAGGGCGTCTCCTGGCATGGGCCTCCGCCGTGAGCGGCCGCCGCCCTCCGACCGCGCAGGGCCGCTCGAGGCTGGCGAGCGCCGGGCCGGCGGCGGCGTCCGAGGCTGCCACGCGCGCGCCGGGGCCGCCGCCGCGGCGGCACGGCGCGGGAAGCCGCCGCAGAGGACGGAGCTACAACCGCACAAGAATCGGGGAGACGTAAGACTCGGGTTCCGGGGGACTCGGGTTGGCCTTATGTCGGGCCTGTCCCCCTCTACAGGGGGATTTTCGACGAAAAACAAACCAAAACGGTAAAAACACTAACAAAAATAGTCCCCAGACTATTCTTGGATTATTTTTTGACGATTTTTGGGATATTCTTTATTTTTCGTCGAAAATCCCCCTGTAGGGGGACAGGCCCGACTTAAGGTTGGCCCGACGGGGCCATCATAAAAACGACGCGACCCAGTCTGAAGTTTGGCGCGGGCTCCCGCTGCGGACATCCTACGAAAACTGGGCCGTCGAACTCCAGGACGCGCTCGTCAAACAGCGTCCGCAGACCCGAGTTCTGGCTTACTCGAGTCTTGCGTTTCCCCGAAGGAAGCGTTGATGGTGTCCTGTGGCTTTCTTCTGTAGTCTGCGAAGCTCCTTCCGTAGGGGGCAGAAATCCACCCCCATGATGATCACCCCGACGCGCGAAGCAAAGAAGGAATCGAACAGGGCAAGGCTGTTTAATAAACCCCCGAGGCCGTTCAGCAAACGCCAATTATCGGGTCCGGGTGGTTTTCCTCCCTTGAACAACTGCACAGAAAGCGTTGGTGGTGTCCGGTGGCTTTCTTCTGTAGTTTGCGAGGCTCCTTCTGACAGCTCCAAATCTTCCAGGATGCTTATGACATGCTCCCAGGGTGTCGTCAAGCGGTCTCCGACGGGTCCGTCAAAGGCAAACTATATCTACTAACATCTGTGATTTTTTGTTGCCTGTGGGAATGCCGCAAGACGCCGTAGACGGTGTCTAGGCGGTCAAGGGAGCGCCCTAGAAGTCCCAAGACGGTGAACGCTATCACAACGGCCTCAGCACTGGCTCCAAGTGGCTCTGGGGGAGCTCAAGACGGTTCCAAGACGGCCCTGAGCCCTGATACCCCTCAGACGGCTTGGAGACTCCCAAGATGGTAGAAGGACCGCCGACAGGCCTCCAGGAAACCCCAAAGAGGGCTCCACGATACCTCTAGAGGCCTGCAACAGGCCAGTCAAAGCACACAGCATACCACAAACCACCCTTTCTTGCTTAGGCGTGGCTCCCCGATCTCGCCCACGCTGGCTTCTGTATTCTTGTGCAGATGTTGTCGGGATCCACCTTCGGGTTCTACATTTCTCTGAGCAGCGCCAGAGCCGGCTGCCAATGCTCGCATGTGTCTTTGCGCTGGTCCCAGCGCTACCGCTTGTGACGTTGCGCGTCAGCTTCGCCTCCCACATCTCGCTGATCAGCCACACGACATAAATCCATGTAGGCCCACATAGTCACCTGCATGTAACCCTGGACGCGTCGAAGAGCTCCACAAACAGACCGTAGAGACCTGTGTTGGTGGCAAAGGCTGGGCCACTCAGTAGTGCCATCTTGAGTGGCCCGAGAAGGGGTCGGAGCCTCCGAAGCCAAGGCAGCTGGCCCTTTCGCATGCGCTGGTCGCAGAGCTATAGCTGATGGCGTCGAGCTCCACCTTCGCCTGCCACATGTCGCTGAGCAGCGCGCTAGCCTGCTGCCACTTCTCACCCTTTGCGCATGCGCTGATCGCAGCGCTGTAGCTGATGACATCAGACTGCAACTTAGCCTCCGGCATCTTGCTGAACAACGCCAATGCCCGCTGCCATTGCTCGCCCTTCCAGCACGCGCTGATAGCAGAATTGAAAGTGAAATCTGGTGAATGACCAGAAGGGGCAAACCCGCAAACGACAGGCTCATCGAACATGGATCAGACAAGTGATCGCGCATCGATAGCCTTGGGGCACCTAGCGGTCTTTATGAGGGTGTGCTTGGCTGGGTAAAAGTGTCGCGGGGCCAATGAGATCCTTGCAGCACGCTGCAAGCCCACTTGGACTGCCTGTGGAACTGCTCGCAGTCGCCGAACAAGTGGTGCTGGTGGCTGTTGATGGCTCATGATCATGCTGATCGCGCCATCACCATAATCACCATCACCATCACCAGCATCAGCATAATCATCAGCATCATCATCATCATCATTATCATCATCTTCTTCTTCTTCATCATTCTCATCGTCGCGGTCGCCCATGTCGTCGTCACCATCACCACCCGCCCGTCCAAATCATGGATCTGCATGAACAGGTCCTCGCTTCAATGCGCCACATGAATTTGCCAACAGGTTGCGGCTGGGTGGTAGGTTGTTCGCTCAAGCCTAGGAATTTGACGGCCTCATTTTTTCAAACGTAAGCCCACCTCGTAGATTGCACCGCAAACCTGGCAACACACACAACTTGCACAACATGTTTTGCACCATGTGTTCTGCACCACGTAGGAGTACACCACATACACTGCACCATATACACACATCTATTTATATACATATACATATATACACATATATATACATACATATATAGATATTGTATCGCCTGGGTTGTACCACATAAGCGATACACGGGATCTATGTACGCAGTTACACAATCAACAATGCGCAGGCTGCACCACATAGTGATTGCACCACGAAGAGTGCAGATCGAGAGTGCAAGAACCCAATCTTCTGGGTCCATGCTGGCAATCACATTTGAGGCTACAGAAACAGCTTCCGCACTGCCCATCAAACTGTCACACTGTTTCTACGGCGCTGGCGAGCCAACGCCGCAAACTGCCCCCCCAATGCATCCAGAATGGGTGGGCGGCGGGCACAACGACATGTTCAGACGCGTCGCAACGCGTTCTGCCTTCGTGGCGGATGGCCAACGCAGACAAGGCACCAGCCTTCCCTTGTCTGCTGGGGCCGCCTCGTGGTGGCCCACTTTTAGGCCATATGAGGGGGCCATCTTGGAGCTATTCAGAAGCCTCGTCGGCCTATGTTGGGCGTCTCTTGGGCCCTGGTGGGGCTATCGTGAAGGGTCTTGGGGCCATCTGGGGGCCCTCCTTGGAACCATCTGGATCCGACAAGTGGACACACACACACACACGCACATTATATTGCGGATATCTGGAATTTTCGCATCCTGGGGCCCCTGCGCGGAGCCATCGTGGAGCCTCTTGGGGCACCGAGGGACGTCTAGGACCGTTTTGGACGCAAGGCGTTTTTTTCGATTGCTTTGGAACAGTTGCCCTTCTGGCGCGCACTGCGCCCGGCATTGTAGGAGAGACGTCGTTGGGCTCCAACTTCACCTCCCACATCTCGCTGAGCAGCGCCAGCGCCCGCTGCCACTGCTCGCCTTTCTCGCACGCGCTGACTGCAGAGCTGTAGCTGATGACATCGGGCTCCGCCTCCGCCTCCCGCATCTCGCTGAGCAGCGCAAGTGCCTGCTGCCACTGCTCGCCCTTCTCGCACGCGCTGATCACAGAATTGTAGCTGACTAGGGCTGACCCGTGGACTCCGTCCACGACATCTTTCTGGAATGGTTCTCGGAGGAACGGCGCACATTGTACCGAAAATCTACAAACACGGCGGCGGCTCGGGCGGCGGCAGCGGGACCGCGCCTTCGTGTCCGAGCTCTTGCAGCGCTCCAGCAGCTTGGCCCAGCGCACTGCTCGTTCACCCCCCTCCTATTGAGGACAGTTTCGAAGTCTCTCGGGGATGTGCGTCGAAGTCGAAGCCCATCTGAGGCGTCTCAGGAGCGTTCGGGGAAGGGCTCGGGAGGCCATCGGGGAAAGCCTCCGAAAGCGCCGGGGCGGCTCGCAAGGATCTACAGGGAGGGCACAAGAGAGCTTCAAGAAAATTTGAAATTCTGTGAAATCTTTAAGAAGCCGCTGTTGGGTCGGGCCATCACCTCCGGGCGCGCCTTGATGGTGCGATCCAGTCGCATCACCGCCAACGGGAGGGTTTCTTCGCCATGTCCCATTCTGTTCGCCCAGAGGGTCTGTGGAGGCCTTCGGGCGAACAGAACGGGACAGGGCAAGGAATGGGGAAGACTTGTCCGAATCTCCTGGGCCCCCCAGGTGCTCGTCCGAAGAATGCGGAGAGGTCCCAGGGTCATATCAATTGGCTGCTGTCCCAGGGGTCCGGTCTGCTTGGCCCGAAGAGTTTGCCAAGGCCCCTGGGGGAACAGAATGGCACAGCATATCGGGCAAAGGGGGGCGGTAGCTGGCCTGTCAGACCCGGCGTTCGTCTTCTGCCCAAGCGGCGCGGGGCCCACGGGCCCCAGGGTTGGCGGCCCGCTGGGATTCCTCTTGTTCGCCCACAGGGTTGGAGGAGGCCTCCAGGCGAACAGAATGGGGCAGGACAATGAATGTGGGAGACTTGTCGCAAGCTCCCAGCCCCCCCAAGTGTGCGCCCGAAGGGTGTGGGGCCGCGTTGGCTCCCTCAAAGGGCCGTCTTGGAGCCGTCCAGGCCCGTCTTGAGGGCGCCGTGTGCCGTGATGGGGCCGTCTTGGTTCGTCGTGGGCCCCTCATGGGCGCGTCCGTAGGCCGTCCTGGGCCCATCGGGGTCCTCGTGGGGCTGTCTTGGAGCCGTCTGGGACCGTGAGGGGGCCGCCTTGGAGTCGTCTTGGGCCCCTCCTGTGCGCCTCCTTGGGCCGTCCTGGGCCCAGCAGGGGCCGTGCTGGCACCCTCTTGGGGCTGTCTTGGAGCCGTCTTGAGCCGTCGCAGCGCGCCTTGGGTTGTGCTGGGTCCGTCTTGGCCCGTCTTGGGGCCTTCCAGGGCGTTTCCTCGGACCCTCCTGGGACTTTCTTTGTCCTCTTGGTGCATCGGACCGCCGAAACGACGGGAAACGCAAAGGGTGTAACAGGAAGCAATGGAAAATTAACGATTTTTGCCAGCTGGGGCTCTCTTGCCATCTTGGGCCCGTCTTGAGGTCCCGACCAGGCGCGTCCTTGGGCCGTCCTGGGCGCGCCCTCCTGGGACCGTCTTGGAGTCGTCTTGGGCCGTCTTGAGCGCGCCTTGGGCCGTCCTGGGCCCGTCTGGGGCCGTGTTGGCACCCTCGCGGCGAGGAAGCCCGGAGGCAGGCTCGAGGCCTCTTTGGGGCCATTTTGGAAGCTGTTGGGGCCTCTGTTGGGGCCTCGTTTGGGCTCCTTGGGAGCCTCCTGGGGTCTCTTCGGGGGATTCTTGGCGGCCCCTTGGGGCCTCTTGGGGGCCTGTTTGGGCCTCCTGGCGCCCTCTTGGGGAGGAATGCTTGGATTTTCGGTCCGTGGTCCCCCTCTTGGCCCCCTCTTGGGCCTGTCTTCGGGCCCTCGTGGGCCGTCTTGAGCGTCTCTTGGGTCGTCTTGGGGCCGTCTTGGGCTGTCTTGGGGCGCTCTTGGAACCCTCTTGGGCCGTTCTGGGGCGCTCTTGGAGGCCTCTTGGGCCGTGTTCGAGCGTCGGCAAGCGGAAAAGGCGAGAAGGCCAAAATCCTTCCAAAACCGTCGTAAAGCGGATGATTTTGACGCCCAAAACCGTCCAAAACCTCCTGAGGCGGTCCCCTCGTCCGCCCCCGTGGCACCTCTTGGGGACCTCTTTTGGGCTCCTGGGGGCCTCTTGGGCCTCTCTGGGCTCGTCTATCGCGCCCCTTGGGCTGTCTTGGGGCCCCCTAGGGCCTTCTTGGGCGGTCCTCGGGCCGTCTTGGAGCCATCTTGGGCCGCTCTTCGGGCCATCTTGGGGTCCCGTTGGCCTGTCTTGGGCGCCTCTGGGGCCGTCCTGGGGCCGCCTTGGACCGTCTTGGGGCCCTCGTGGACCGTCTTGGAGCGGTCTTGGATGCCTCGGGGGGGGTTCGGAGCGTCGGGAAGCCGAAAAAGCCAGGAAGCAAAAAACCTCGGAAAAACAAATGAAAATCAACGATTTTGGCCTCTCGGGGCTCTCATGGAGCGCCTCTTGGGAGGCCTGTTGGGCCGTCTTGGGGAGCTCTTGGGCCGTCTTGGGCCAATCTCGGGCGTCTTGGCCGGATCATTGCGCGTCTCGGGGCCCTCTTGGGCCGCCTTCGGGGCATCGTGAGCGGGCCAGAGCCGTCGTGGAGCGGCTCGGAGCCGTCTGGGGGCCCTCGGGGCGGCCTCCGGAGCGTCTCGGAGCCGTTTCCGGGCATTTGGCGCTTTTTCCTTCCGAGTATAGACTAGGGCTGATCCGTGGACTACGTTCACTTGCCTGGTGAAGGGGTGCTGCCGCAAGGCGATCAGGGTGAATGGCGTCATGTCCGCCTGCCACACATCGTTGAGCGAGGAGACGGAGGAGCGTCTGGACGCCCCACCTGTGGCGCTCAAGGGCTCCCTTGGGATCGGGTCGGGCTTTGTCGGTGCACAGCCCTGTCGGAGTAGCCCTTTTTATGAAGACGGGTTCACTTTTTTGGGGAGTTCGATTCAGCTGGAGTCGTCGTGGTCGTCGTCTCCCTGGTCGTCGTCGTCGTCGTCATCGTCGTCGTCGTCGTCGTCGTCGTCGTCGTCGTGGCGGTCGTGGTCGCGGTCGCAGCCCTGTCGACGCTTGCGTCTCCGGCTGCTACTGCTGCCATGTCTTCTGCGGCTGGCAACGATACTTGCTTGCTGCGAATGCCGGTTTGTCCTGTCTTGAAGTCCTCTTGGGCCCCCTCTTGATGCTGTCTCGCGGCCCTCTTAGACTCTCTTGGGGTCCTCGGTTGGGGCCTCTCGGGGCCATGTTTGGCTCTCTGGGGCCATCTTGTGGGATCCTGGAGCCGTCTTGGGGCAGTCGGGGAGGCTAGGTGGGGCCATCTTTGTGGCGCCCTGTGCGCTCTTGAAGGCTCCGGCGAGCCTCTGGGGCCCTCGTGGAATCCTCTGGGACACATCCCCGAGCAATCTGCAAACAGGCTGCGGAAAACAAGCAAGCCTGACGACGATGCAGAAGAGTCGGACTTCGCGCCACCAGTGGTGGAGCCTCTGGGCATCACATTGGCGGCATCCGACGGCCGCGTGAGCCGCTCGGGTCGTCTCGGGCGCCTCCCTCAGGGTCTATCGAGCCTCCTGGAGCACCGGGGGAGCCGCCAAGGACCCGCCTCGGGCGGCATGCCCACTGGGGCGCCCCATTCGGGCGCACGGATCCTGGCACTCGTTAGCCTCCACCCTTGCCTCCTGCATCTCGCAGAGCAGTGACAGAGTCCGCTGCCACTGCTTGCTTTTCTCGCACGCGCTGATCGACGAGCTGTAGCAGATGACGTCAGGTTCCAGCTTCTCCTCCCGCGCCTCGCCGAGCAGCGACAGAGCCAGCTGCCATTTCTCTCCCTTCTCGCATGCGCTGATCGCAGCGCAGTAGCTGATAACGTCGGGCGTCAAGTTCGCCTCACGCATCTCGCTGGATAACGCTAGCGCCCGCTGCCACTGCTTGCTTTTCCCGCACGCGCTGATCCCAGCGTTGTAGCTGACTGGTGTGCACCCTTGGCCAATCGGCCACGAAATCTGTCCGAGATGGCACGTTGGGCCAGGGCAGAGATATTGCCGAAGGGCTTTCGTGATGTCGTTGGTCCCGAACTTTGCCTCTGCTGTTGCTGCCTGCAGCTGCAGGGTGCTACTGCCTGTGGCATCTTGTTGCTGCTGCTGCTGCTGCTGCGGATGCTTGCTTTTGTTGTGTGCGGCCGCTGCTTGCTGCGGACTGCCGCTGATCACTGTTGCTGCTTGAGGCTGCAGAGTGCTGCTTCTTGGTGCCCTTGCTAGCTAAGGCGACCTGCAGCTCGTGAGTGGGTCGAGGAGCGATGAGCAAGGAGCGACGGCCAAGGAGAGAGAGAACGAGAGAGAGAGAGAGAGAGAGAGGCAAGGAGGGAAGAGGGAGAGCCGAATAGAAGGGATGAGGCGTCTGAGTAGCCAAGAGGGAGAAGCGATGGTCCAAGAGAGAGAGAGAGAGGCGGGACGAGCGAGGAGGAGGGGGAGGAGGAGGAGGAGGAGGAGGAGGAGGAGGAGGAGGAGGAGGAGGAGGAGGAGGAGTGAGAAGAGAGGAGCCAGGAGCGAGGAAAGAGAGACGGAGAGAGAGAGAGAGAGAGAGAGAGAGAGAGAGGCAAGGGGCGAGGAGAGAGCAGCGAGGAGCGAGGAGCGCGGGGCGTTGAGCGACATTGGAGGCATGAGAAGAGGGCAGCGCTCGAATGTTTCAATGACCTCGGCGCGCGTTTGGCCGAACATCTGGACTCCTTTGGGTCGCTTATGTGGGTTCTCTTGGGTGGCTGGCGCGGCCCCAGAGTTTTCTAAGGGATCTTCCCCAGGAAGCATCTTGGAGGCGGTTTTGGGGGGTCTTGGGGCCTCTCGGGGGCTCTTGGGCCCTCTTGAGGCATCGTCTGGGCCTCTTGGGGGTCTCCTGGGGCTTGCGGGGGGCCTTTTGAGGGCCTGCAGGCGATCTCGGGGGTCAACTTGCTCATGGACCGCCTTGGGGGCCTCTTGGGCTGTCTGGGGGCCCTCTTGGGGGCCCGTTGGGCCGTCTTGAGTTGATGCTAAGGGCCTCTTCGACCGTCTTGGAGCGTCGGAAGCCCGAAAAAGCGAGAACATCAAAATCCGTCAAAAACCTGACGGGGGAATCCATGATTTTGGCTTCTCGGGGCTCTCTCTGGGGGCCTCTCGGAGCACTCTGGCGCCGTCTTGGAGCCCTCTTCTTCGGCCGTCTGCACGCCATCTTGGGCCATCTGGAAGCCATCTCGGGCTGCCTTGGAGACATCGTGGGCGACCCCGGAGGCCTCCAGGGCGGCGCGGAGTCTCGCCGGAACCAGCTCGGAGCTCCGAGGACCCGCCCGCGGGAGGGCCCCGGGGGCGGCGGGCGACGCTGTCTCGCCACGCGCAAGGCCCGGCATGGTGGTAGGGACTCGGGGGCCCTATCATGGCCTTCGGGGCTCCTGGGCCCCTCCCGGGGGCGCCTGAAGCCTCACGGGGGCTCTCCTGGGGCCGCCCTGGGCACCCGTCCCGGGGCGGTCCGGGGCCCATCCTGGGGCCCTGGCCTGGGCCCCGCGGGGGCCTCGGGCCGGGAAGGCGAGGAGGCCAAGCGCAGTGTACGTAGAGTGGCACCCCTTGGCACGACCTGGTTCGTGCTGAAGGCAGACCCCCCTGGGACCATCCCCGAGGCAGATCCTGGTCAATCCTTCGCTGCGGATCAGTTCCTGACTGCCCCGGGCCAGGCATGGGCTCCTGGAGGCCGAAGCTTGCAGGACTCGGGAAGCTTTTGGGTTTCGGATGGGCGTCGTTCTCTGCATCGGGCAGGGGAGAACGAATCCTGGGCGCCGAACTGGCGCAGAAGCCTCCCCCCTGGGCTCGAGACGCTCGATTCCGAGAAGATCAGACCACTGAGCTCTCGCTCGGGAGATCAGGCTCTCCTAGCCCCCAGGTTGGAGCAGCAGCCCTCGAACTCGAGGGCAGAGGGTGGAGGATGGGTGCGCGGTGGACCATAAACCTTGGTGCCAGGGAGGCTGCGAAGAAGACATGCCACTCCAACAAGCCCAAGATGTTGGAACGCCGTTCCATTCTTTGTTGCAGGCCTCTTGGCAAACAACTCGCAAACTGTTCTGGGAAACGTCCGTCGGAACGTTCTCAGCTCAAAACGGTCTTCGAAAAACTGTTCGCAAAACTTTCGGCAAGGGCCCACCAAAACGTTCTGAGCTCAATTCGCCCCGTTTAATTTATGCTGGCATGGCAGGCCAATGTGCTACGTAGGCCCTAGGAGAACACACAGCAAATCTTTTCCAATTTCCGGAGCCCCCCCCGTCCGAGAACATCACAACGGGAAAAACGAGCATCGAATCGAAATCAAGCCCGAAGCTAGGTCGAGCCTATGCTAAAGGAGCGGCCTCCCAGGGGCAAGTCTAGGGGACGTCTGTTTGGTCTCGGGGCCGTCTCAGACTTCCTTGGGTCTGTCGTGTGCAAGCGCTGGCCTTCTGCTGGTCTTGGGCTGTCTTGGAGCCACACTGGAGCGCTGGGCCATTGAGACATATGGCATCCCAGAGCTTTCTCGCACGCGTTGTCCCTGGAAGAGTTGAGACGATGAAAGTGACATCGGGCTCCAGCTTCGCCTCCCGCATATCTCTGAATATCGCCAGGGACCACAGCCACTGCTCGCCTTTCTCGCACGCGCTGATCCCTGTGTTGTAGCTGACCTGTGTGAGCCCGTTGATAACATCCGCGTTTTGCTGAACCTGGCAATAGCAAGCCGTTGGTCTTATCTGCAGAACAGGGCCTCGAAGCCGAACAGCTCGAGGAGCTTGTGGAGAGGACGGGGGAAGGAACTAAAGTGAAGGTGGATGACCTCGGAGAGTCTGAGCGTCCCGCGGCAGCGACTTCGTGTGCACGGGATTACGGTGGGCCCCTGTCATGACGAGCTGCGCTGTTGCTCTTGACACCCGCGTGGGACGCTCAACCCTGCGCGATCGACAGCTTTGAACTCGCGGGATCGTTCAGCGTCTGCCGATTCTGGAACAGTGTCGGCGTTGAGCCCTTGATGCCAGTGCTGAGGTCCCCGCCGCGTCGACGCGACGCGAATCTGCGCACCCCTCCCCGCTGCTCGGCGAAGAGGGCCAAGAACCTTGTTCTAAGGTGGCGTGAGACGGGGCAGGCGGCGGAGAGGAGGAACGGCGAGCGAGAGCTCCGGGAGGCGCAAAGATGCGATCCCTCTGCTTCGGGCGCGGCCCAACGGACCCCCTGTGTGACGGGCGCTCCCGTGACGACCTCCCCGCTGTGGAGGCCCGCCCCCGGCTGCGTGCGTGCTTCCTGCAATGAGACGAGGAGGCCGCCACGGGAGAGCGCTGGTCCGCTGGGGATGGGTGGGGCCGTTCCTGAGCCACGTCCCGTCGGGCTGTGAGCGGGACGCCCTGGTCCTCCACCATGACCGGGCACCAGTACTCTGCCATGACGTTCTTGCGGGGCGTACGCCCCGCACGTGGCCTTGCATCGTCTCCCCGACATTCGGGGCCTCCTGGAGGCCTGTCTGGGGCCTCAGGGGCCACTCTTGGGATATTTTGTCTCTTGGGCCGTGTCGGGGGCATCTTGAGTCCTCCTGCGAGCCTGTCTGGGGCTTCTGGATGGCCTCTTGCGGAACTTTGAATGTCTCTGGGGCCGTTCCCGGACTGTCCCCCAGAGCCCCTTCTGGAGGACAGCCCGGGACGCTTATTTTAGAATCGCCTTGGAGCTTTCCTGGGGCGTCCTTGGGAATCCCCAGGCCACTGTGGGAACTCTGTTGGGGCCGTCTTGAAGGGCATGTGGGGCTCTTTGGGGCCGTCTTCGGGCGCTCTTGGGCAATCCCGGGGGCTTCCTTGGGTCGTCTAAGGCCTCTTTTGGGAGCCTGACGGGGCGATCTAGGAGACACTGGGAGCCGTCTAGAGCTTCTCTTGGGGCGAAATGGGGAAAACCTTAGAATGCATCAAAATCCAATGAACATCATAGATTTTGGCCTCGTGGGGCTGTCATCGGGGTCCTCTTGGGCTGTCTTGTAGGCCCCCTGGCTCGTCTTGGGGTCGTTTGGGGCATTTCCAGACTCGTTTCGGGTTCTCTGTGTCCGTCCAGGCGCTCTCTTGAGCGTCTCTGAGCCGTCGTTGGACGTCTCGGAGCCTTCTAGCGACCCGACCGACCAAGGCCGTGCAGAGAGCGCCCAGCACTTCAGGGGCGCCGCGGGAGCGCCGGGAGCCGCCCCGGGCCACGCTGCTGGAGCGCAACCTCGCACGCACTGATTGGAACATTGCAGGGCGGACCCGTGGCCTACAGGCTGCGACACAAGTCCGAGATGGCACGTTGGACCAGGGCAGAGATGTTGCCGAAAGGCTTTCGGGTTGGCGTTGGGCCGGAACTTCGCCTCTGCTGTTGCTGCCTGCAACTGGAGGGTGCTGCTGCCTGCGGCATGTTGCTGCTGCTTGCCTAGTCGGTGTCGTAGCCTTGCTGTTTGCTTGCTCTATGCTTGCTTGCTGCTGGCGGTAAGAGCTCTTTTGCGCCACCGTTAGCCCTGGGGAGCCTTGGCGTTCCGAGCTGTTGTTGCGTCACCGTTCGCTCGTGGAAGCCTTGGCGTTCAGAGCTTGTACTTCACGTGGGCCCTCGTGGAACCCTCTTCGGGAACTCCTGGGGGCCTCTCTAGGGTCTGAGTCCTGCCCTCTTTGGCTGTCTTGGGGGCGCCTTGGGCCATCTTGGGGCTATGATGGGTTTTTGGGCCGTCTTGGAGCTCGCTTTGAGCCCTCATGGGGCCCTCTTGGGGCTGCATGGCCGTCTTGAGGCCCTCTTGGGAGCCTCTTGGGCCGGCTTGGAGCGATCTGGCGGTCCATTCTCGGGGCCAAATGGCGAGAGCGTGAAAAGCCTTCAAAAAACTTCGGGAAGTCTATGACTTTGGCCGCCTCGGGCCGTCATGGGGGTCCTCCTGGGCCGTTTGGGAAGCTCCTGGCCTGTCTTCCGTCTTGGGCCGCCCTGGGGCTCGCACGGGGTCCTCTTGGGCTGCCACGGCGCCCTCTTGAGCGTCTCGGAGTGGTCTTGGGGCTTTCGGGGCGCCCTCGTGAGCGTCTCCGAGCCGTCTTGGGGCCTCTCCGAGCGCTCCCGGAGGCTCTGCGGGCGCGCCTCGAGGCCCCAGGAGCCCTCGGGATCACTCGGTGCAGAGACACTTCTCGCGCGCACTGGCCCCTACGCTGTAGGAGAGACTGGGGCTGGCCCGCGGACTGACGTCCGCGACATCTTGCCCGCGCGCAAGCATCAAGATCGCCTGCCTGCTGGCCTGCTGTCCTGCGCGCATTGGTGCTGGCCTGCGGTAGAGGAACAAAAAGCGGCATAAACGTAAACTTTCGGAGCTCCGCGTGGATCGGCGCTAGACCCCCCTCCCTGGTGCGCGGATCGCGCCAAGGGCGGCGCTGGAAGCGCCGCGCGGGGGGCTCAGCGCCGGTCCAACAAATCCGCGCGGAGCTCCGACAGTCTCTGTTTATGCCGCTTTTGCTCTTGGATGCAGGCCAGACCCTTTTCTGCACGAGGTCTCTCCTCGCATGGTGTCGAGCCTGGGGGGGCGCAACTGGTCCTCTGCTGCGCGCCGTGGCATCGGGGATGGTCGCCGGCCTGCCGCGGGGAGAGTGTCGCGGCTGCCCGTCGGGGGGGACGACAGGGGGGACAGCAAAGGGTGATTGGGGTAGAGAATCAGCTCACGTGGCTGATTTTCCCAGCGCCTCCCGGCGCCCATGTATCGAGGAATGGGCCCAGGCGGCGGGGCCGAAACCAGCTGCATGCAGCAGATTTCGTACCCCCCCTTTCCCTACCCCCTCCCCTTCGTTCGGCCCGAGCCCGGGGTCTGCTGCCAGCCGCTCCTCTGCTGCCGCTGCCGGCTCGCGTGCTGCCGGATCTGGGCGCGGCGCTCTGGGCCCGTGCGGCCGCGCCCAGGCGCGTCTCGGGACCGTGCGCACTGCCATTGCCTTCCTTCTCGCTTGACCTCTTCTGAGCATCGCAGCTGGTATGGCGCTCACTGCCGCCTTTCTCAAAGGGGCCACTGCCAGCGTTGTAGCTGATAGGTCGCTCGCGGCCGCCCTGTCGGGGCCGTCCTGAGCCTGCTGGGCCGTCGGGGCGCCCCCATGCCGGGCGCGCGGGGCCGTGAGAGGGAGCTCCCGGGTGGCTGGCTTCCGCTCTCTATGGGAGCCTCGTGGGGGGCGTCCCCGGAGATCTCTCGAGGAAGCCCAGGGCAGTGCAGTCTGCCCGCAGACTGCCCCGGGACGGGCCATGGCGGCCGCACGAGGCCGCGAAGGCAGCCCAAGAGGCGCCGACGGGGGCCCCGAGAAGGCCCCAAGATGCGGCCCGCAAGGAGCCGCGAGGCCCCTCCGAGACCGTCTTGGATCTGTCTTGCGCCGAGAAGCCTGGAAAGCAACCAACGTAGACTTCACCTCAAGGTTTTGAGAGGACTTTGGGCTTCCCGTGGTCAGCTGGGCGGCTCCTGATGCATGCTGCTGCTTGCTGCTGCTTGCTGTTGCCGTGTGCCGCCGTTGCTGCCCCGCCGACTTGCTTCGTGCTGCGTGCTGTTCGCTGTTGCTGCTTGATGCTGTACGTTGCTGCTGCCCGCTGCATCTGCTTGCAGACGCAACTTGCTGCTCGTGAGATGATCGGGAAGCGATGAGAAAGGATTGAGGGAGAGAGGATGGTGAAGCGAGGGGCGATCGGCGAGGAGCGAGAAGGGAGGAGCGACGGCCGAGGCGAGAAGGGCGAGGAGGGAGGAAGGAGCTGCGAGTAGCCAAGAGGGATGAGCGATGGGGCCAGCAGAGAGGAGCGAGGAAGAGCGAGAAGCGAGGAGCAGGGAGAGATGGGCGAGGCGCCCGGAGCAATGGGCGGGGGGCGCGCAGGGAGCGAGGAGCCAGGCTGTGTCTTCGAGCCGTCCTGGACCCTGTTCGGCCGATTCGGGACGGTCTTGCGGCGGCTCGGGTGCCACCTCGGGGCCGTCTGGGGGCCAGAAGGCGAGGATACCGAACGCACCAGGGGCGTCCAAGAGGGGGGTGTTCAAGAGGGGGAGGGCAAACATGGCCGGCGGCATGCGCGCGGCCCAGGGTGGGGTGCCGGGGGCGTATTGGAACAAGAAGAGGCGCCATGACATCAGGGGAGATATCATGGCCCCCGCCTGCTCCCCCGCCCCACCTTCGTCATCAACCCCCTCTTGGCCGCCCCCGAACCAAGCAAGGAAGGCTTGCACTTTGGCCGGGGTCCTGGGCACATCTTGGCGGCTCCCGAGGCCTTCGAGGGGAAGTCTCGCGCCTGTCCCGGGGCCGTCTCTCAGTGCATGGGGGCCGTCTCGGAGTGCTCTGGGGCCGTCCTGCGCCGTCTTCGGGTGCGCCGTCCTTCACTACTGCGCACTGCAACCGAAAATATGATCCAGAACAAATTCGAACTTAACACATCTGGGCCAACTTCCGGAAATTTCTTGAAACAAGCCTGGGGCAATTTCCGCTGTTAACGCTGGAGGGGCGAACGTGCCCAAGACACTGGGCCAGCTTCCCGGCAAGTTGGTGATGAAACGCTGGCTCAGCTTTTCGCGAGGAGGTTTCTTAATCAGATGCTCGACCGTACTTCTCGCCTATCTGGAACGTGCTGCGGCCAGCACTGCGACGGAGATGACGTCGGGCTCCATTTTCACCTCCCACATTTCGCTGATCAGCGACAGAGCCCTCTGCCACTGCTCGCTTTTCTCGCATGCGCTGATCCCAGCGTTGTAGCTGACTACAACGGAAAATCCACGGTAGACAAGTCGAAGTGTCGGCCTCGAACGTGCAGATGTGGCGATCTTTGCCGTTGTTGTCAGGGGAGGGGGGCAGAGCCTCGCTGCCGCGGCGCACGACGGGGTCATAGGCAAGCAAGCGGACGCTCGGCTGTATGATCCATGGGGCTCGGTCTTGGAGCCATTTGGGATGAGGGACAAGAGACGGCAGAGGAGCGGGGAGGCTGCAATAACAAAAACAAATGGTGGCGTTCATGTAGGTCCCCCCAGTCACCCCTGACTGGCCGTTGGGAGGGCCGAAACTTGAAGGAGTGTGCAGGGGGGAAATCAGGATAGGGTAAGTAGAAGGAGGGCGAACAGAGGGATGGGGGAGCGCGGCACCAGGAACAGGGGTGTGGAAGCTCCAAGAGGCAGAGGAGGAGGAGGAGGAGGAGGAGGAGGAGGAGGAGGAGGAGGAGGAGGAGGAGGAGGAGAAGAAGGAGGTTGCAGGCCCAAAGAGGCAAAACAAAACCGTGGCGCTCAACAAAGCGCGGGCCAACGTGCCCTGGCCAACGGCCACAGTGGCCAACGGCCATCACCAAGGGCACACGCGCAAAAAGGAGGGATCACGGACACAAGCTGGGACCTGACCTCCGGCTTCCTTTCCCTGACTAACTCCCAATAGCGCTAGAAACGCTGTGCCTTAGGGAGGAAAAAGAGGAGGAGGAGGAGGAGGAGGAGGAGGAGGAGGAGGAGGAGGAGGAGGAGGAGGAGGAGGAGGAGGAGGAGGAGGAGGAGGAGGAGGAGGAGGAGGAGGAGGAGGAGGAGGAGGAGGAGGAGGAGGAGGGAGGAGGAGGAGGCGGAGGAGGAAGAGAAGAGAGGAGAACGGGGAGGAGCTTCCTGGGGCCTGTCTGGGTCTGGGGCTTTCTTCGGGGCTATTGTCGTGAAGGTCCCCCCTGTCATCCCTCATCGGCCGTATGGGGTGGGGGGGTGGGGCGAGGCCTGCTGGCATGTGCAGGGGGGAGAGGAGGAGAGGGCGAAGGGAAAGTAGGTGAGCAGGAGGAAGATGAGGAGGAGAGCGGCCCCAGAGACACGGGTGTGGAGGCACCTGCAGGAGGACCAATGTAAAACCAAAACTCATCAACGATGTTGGAATCCCACCAGCCCTCTGGGCGCAGGTGGTCTAGAGCGTTTCCTTGTCCAACCTCCTTCCTTTCCCTGCTCGGGAGGTTTACCTTCCCTCCCCCTCCCTGCGTCTGGACGGGCTCCGCCGCGATGTGGCAGAGGGCCCTTTTTGGTCCAAGATTGCTCCAAGAGGACTTCAGAGAGCGCAAGATGGCCTCCGATATGGTCCAAGATTGCGGTAGATGGGTCAAGATAGCCTCGGACACACGTCCAAGAGGCCTCAAGACGGCCCCAAGACGGTTTGAAGTGCCCTCCGAAGTCGAAGGACCCCATCAAGAGGCCAAGACCTAATGACAATCAACGTTTTTTGTCTTCTCGTTTTTTCGCCTCCGATGGGCTCTTGAGGCCTCAAGGTGGCCCCAAGACGGCTCAAGATAGCTCCAAGAGGGGTCCAAGAGGATCCCAAGACGGCCCCAAGAGCGCTCCAAGAGCGGGCCAAGAGGGCCCCAAGAGTGCATGTTTGAGCCTCCGAAGGGGCGGTCCGAATTAAAACCGCCCATTTTTTTTTGATCAATGCGGCCTAAGACGGCCCCGAGAGGCCTCCCAGACCACTCCTAAGAGCCCCAAGAAAGCTCCAAGACCCCCCAAAAGAGCTCCAAGAGGGCCCCAGGATGCCCCGAAAGAGCACCCAGGGAACTCCAAGAAGGCCCTTAGAGGACCTCAAGAGAGCCCCAAGAAAGAGCTCCAGGAGGGCCCCAAGAGGGCCCCAAGAGAACTTCAAGAGAGCCCCAAAATGGTTCCAAGTTTCGAAACGCACGCAAGTTCAAGATACACATCAGTGCAACAGCCATTACGAGTCATCGAAACACCCCTCACCCCTCATCGGAGCACCATCGTAGCTTGCGCCGATTTCCATCTTAAACTTCAATGCGGGAAACTATTCGTGGTCCTCCTTTTCCCGAAGACGGCTGCGCGACTGCATGCGTCCTGCCGCCCCTGATTCACCAACTCTCCTGCTGATCGTTTCTGGATGGGCTGGTGAGAATACTTTTTTGTCGCAGCTGCAGGCCAACGGGTCCGACAGCGTCAGCAGAGTTAGCTCGGGCTACGAGCAACCTAATTGCCGGCGCGCGCGCCGAGCAAGCGGGCCAAACCTACCGCCGAGGGAAGCAGCTGCGCCGGGGCTGAGCTGGGCCGAGGGGTGGAAGCTGCCAGCTGCGGAGGCGGCTGGAAAATGCAACGTGCAGGTACCGTGGTAGCTGAACCGCCAGGCGCGAGAATTAGGCCCCGTCGCCGCTGGGCGCCGGAGGACAGGGAGGCAGACCGCCAGGTGACACGCCAGGCCGCACAAGAAGGCTGAACCACTCCTGCAAGACACGGCGGCCAATACCCCAGGTGGCCAACTGACAACCAGAGCCAGGGAAGTGCAAGCACTGCCGGAACTGGTCAAAGCGCGCGGGACCTGAACGCCAGGGCTCACTCGGCACCACGGAACAGAGAGAGAGAGAGCTGGAGGCCAGGTGACGGGCGCCTTCACCGCGGCTGAGGAGGACGAAGCCCAGCACCAGTGGCGGAGTAAGAGCCAGACGCGGCCAAGCCAGGCGTCAAGAATTAACCCTCCCTCCAAGCTCCCTCTTCAGAGGTCCTCACAACGGTTCATTTCCATTGGGGGAACTTCCCGGTTAGAAGACAACTGTTTGAAGATCCTGAAGCATGCCAGAACATTGTCCTCGTGATTTCAACGCCACGTATCAACCTGATTACTGCGTCTTGACGATCTGGAATCGTGCCATAACGCCATTTTTTGGGACTTCGACACAGCGAATCAACATAATTGTTGCACCCGCGTAATCCTGAATCCTTCCAACACACTATTTCTGGCACGTTGATCATGGGAATCCGTGAAACTCTTGTTGCAAATTTTGAAAACGAATGTGCGCGGCGCTAAGGCGAGAACCACATTTTGAAAAGGAACCGCCCTCAATCCGTGAAGCTCTTGCGAATCTTAAAAACGAATATGCGTGGCGCTAATGCGAGAGCCACATTTTGAAAACGACCCGCCCTCAATCCGTGAAGCTCGTGCAAATGCTTTAAACGAATGTGCTCGGCGCTAAAGCGAAAAACCACATTTTGAAAACGACCTGCCTTCCATCTGTGAAGCTGTTGCCACTTTTTAAGCCTCAGAATCATAAGTGGTGAGGAGGTCTCACGCGAAACGCCCGGCTCGCCCAAAAAACTGGCCTCGGGGTGCGACAGGGAGAGGAAGAGGAGGAGGAGGAGGAGGAGGAGGAGGAGGAGGAGGAGGAGGAGGAGGAGGAGGAGGAGGAGGAGGAGGAGCAGGAGGACCACTGTCAACCCAAGACTCATCAGCGATGTTGCAACAAACCCTCCCTCGAAATTCCCTTTTCATGGGCTTCTATAAGGATCTAGTCTCACATCTGGAAGGGCCCCGGTGGAAGACAAAGGATCGAAAATCTGTAGCCGAGCCAAAGCACCACTCGTGGGACTTCTACGCCGCGACTCACTGTGACTGTTGCGACCTGACGATCAGAAACCGTGCCAGAACACTATTCTTGGGACGTCAACGCTGCGAATCAACCTGACTGTCGCGCCCTGAAAATCCGAACTCGCGCCAAAACGCAACGTCTTTCGCGGTGGTCAAGGGAGAACTACATTTCGAAAAACCACCCTCCGTCCGTGAAGGTCTGGCAAACTTTAGTACGAATGTGCGCGGCGCTAGATCGAAAACCACATTTTGAAAAGGAACCGCCCTCCGTCCGTGAAGTCTTGTAGATTTAAAAGCGAATGTGCGCTGCACTAAGGCGAGGGCCAGAACTTTTAATGCGAATGTGCGCTGCACGAAACAAGATAACCACATCTTGAAAACGGTCCTCTCCACCTGTGGAACTCTTTCGAACTTTCAAGCGAATGTGCGCGGCTCTAAGGCGAGAGTCACATGTTGAAAAACGCTCGCCCTCTATCCGTGAATCTCTTGCAAACTACAAGATTCATGATCATAAATGGCGAGGAAGTCTTAAGCGAAACGCGCGGCCCGCCCTACCGATCCGTCTCGAGGTGGAGCAGGGAGGAGTTGTTTATAAGGAAGAGGGATGGAGGAGGAAGAGAAGAGAGGAGAGCAAGGAGAGGGGCTTTCTGGGGCGTTGTTTGGGGTTCGGGGTTTTCTTTTGGGCAACTGGGGATTCAGGAACGTAGAAAGGTCCCGGGGCTTCTGGCTTTCAAAGGAGCTGCAACTATCGGATTCTCTTGTAGGTCTCTGGGGCGTCTTGGAAATGGTCTGGGGTCTCTTTGGGGCCTGGTGCTTTCATCGGGGCTTCGGGGAATCCAGACACGGCGGAAGGTGCTTGGGCTTGAAGCTTTCCTGGGAGGTCCTTGGCAACTATCGGATTCTCTTGTGAGGCTCTGGGGCATCTAGGAAATCTTCTGGGGTCTCTTTGGGGCCTGGTGCTTTCATTGGAGCTTCGGGGAATCCAGAAACGGCGGAAGTTGCTAGGGCTGGAAGCTCTCTTGAGAGCTCCTTGGCAACTGCTGGAGTCTGTTGGGAGGCTGCAGAGTATCTCGGAGCGGTCCTTCTTGGACAGCTCGTGGGGCCATTTTGGGAAATTGTGGAGGCCTCTTAGGCCATCTCCGGGGCTTCTTGGGCGTCTCAGGGCCATGTTGAGGGTCTGTGGCCGTCTTGGAGCCCGCTTTGGGCCCTCTGGGGCAGTTCCTTGGGCCCTCTTGAGGCTGTCTTGGGGGTCAGCTGAGGCTCTGTTAGGCCCTCTGGGGCCTGTCTTGCGCCGTCTTCGGGTTCTCTTGGGTCGTCTTGGTGCCCTCTTCGGGGCCTCTTGGGCCTCCTTGGAGCGATCTTGGAAGGACCTGGAGCCGTGTGGGGCCGCTCTGGGCCCATCACGGGGAGAAGTGGAAAAACATGGGCGCCCGACGGCTTCTTGCCTGACTCTTGGCTCCGCGGTGCCGTCCTGGGGGCCCTCGTGGGGCGTCTGCGGAGCCTCCCGGCCTGTCTTCGGGCTGTCCCGGGGGGGCCCGCCTCGGGTCCTCCGGTTTGGACGCCCGAAAGGGGTACGGAAACAATGGGCACAATGCCCGACAACAAATGTTGTCCCAAACCAACAGCGGCCTCCTCCTCCTCCTCCTCCTCCTCCTCCTCCTCAGGTCCTCCTCCTCCTCCTCCTCCTCCTCCTCCTCCTCCTCCTCCTCCTCCTCCTGTCTCGAATGGACACAAGCCGCGGCGGCGTGGACAGCGAAACCGGTTCAAAACGAGCAGGGACTGCTGTTGGGCATCGTACCCCTTCTTTCCGTGCCCACTTCGGGCGACCAAATCCTGGGCCGTCCTGCCGCTCTCCTGCGCGCATCCGAGCTGCCCGGGGGCCGGCCGGCCTGGGGCCTCTTGAGGGGGCCTTCGGGGGACCCGCTGGCGCCCCGAGGCGACAGGGCCCCGACGGCGGGGCTGCGGCGACGGCGACCGCGGAGCCGCCAGACCAGCAGCAGGACCCAGGCGTCGGACACGAGGACCTTGCCCTGCTCGCTCTCTTCGAGCGTGCTTCGCCCAGGAACGCAGCACAGATGACGCTGGGCTCCATGCTCGCGTTCCACATCTCGCTGAGCAGCCACATCGCGCGCTGCCACTGCTCGCCTTGCTTGCACGCGCTTATGACAGCATTGTAATTGACTAACGTGCGCCCGTGCGTCGCCTCCAAGTTTGAGGGGCAACGATAGGGGGGGACTGGCATAAGGGGGGATGCAGCGACCTGGAGTCGGCGATACAATGCCTACAGATCGGCGATGGCCTCCGATGGTGAATCCGCACCTTCCTGGGCAGGTCGGGGCTATCGGGCCCAGATCGGCGATCAATGGGCGATTGGAGGTCGACGCATCCCTCCCTATGCCTATCCCCCCCTATCGTCGCCCCTGAAAATTTACCCTCAAGGCGCCTGCCTTGCGGATGCGGGTGCCGGGCTCCGAGGAGCTCGCGTCTGAAAATCGGAGCCGTTCTGTGATGCTCCCGGGGCCGCCTCGCGGCGGCCTCGGTGCCGTCCTGGGGCCTCCCTGTCGCCCTCCCGACCGCCTGGAGGCCGCGCCTGAATTATTCCGCGAGGCCGTTTACTAAACGCCCCCACTGAAGGAACCGAGCAGGGCAGGGCTGTTTAGTAAACGCCCAAGGCCGTTTAGTAAACGCCAATTGTCTGGTCCGGGTGGTTTTGTCTCCCTTGAGAATAGCTCGGGCGGTGTCGTCTGGAGGCCTTTCTGGATGGCACTCTTGGGCAGCCAAGGCTGCGAGACGAGCGCGACAGAAAACCGCGGCCCTTCACTTCCTTAGGCCTCGCAGGGCCTCCCTGGAGTCTCTCTGAAGCCAGTTGGGAGCCTGCGGGGGGATCCGACGCGGCCGACTCCAGCTCGACGGCTCGCGCGGTGGTCTCCCACGCCCCGGGCATGTCGGGAGCTTGAAGGGGTCTCGGGACCACCTTGCTGGGTCTTGGCCGACTACCGGGCTCAAGGCCGTCGTCGACCCATCTTAGGCTGCTCGGAGCCTTCGTGAAACAGTCTTTTTTAGGCTGTGGGGAGCCAGCTCTTGGGGCGACCATGGGTCATCCTTTGGGGGTCGCCTTGGGTTTAATGTGTCTGAGCCCCCGTTCACGTGGTTTCAAGGTCTGCACACTAGCCGCCCAACCCTCCCTTCTGCTGTCGAGGCCGTCTGGAACCTGTTCTTGATGATGCAGGGTGGTACAACGAGAACAACACGAATTCCCTACCAACGATTTGCTTGGGCTTTCCCGCGGCCGTCAAATATTGTATGGCTGCTACAAAATCTTCTACTGGAGTGTAATGTAATTCTGTCATCGTCCCGTCTGGGCGCCGCCTAGACGCTTTTTGCCACACTTTGCGCGAAAGAAAACTTGTTGACTCTCGCACTCCGATCTCCACGTGACCATTCCAAAACAATATCTTCCATATGTGCGCGCTCGTTTGGCCCTTGCCAAAACCGTTCCAAGAACTCACAATCCGTGTGCCCACACGGGGACGGCGTGTACCTCCCGCTCGTGTGTACATGCCTTTCGGGAAGATTTTCGTCGAAGCATGAAGCATGATCAGGGTTAGGTATGCTGGGCTCGACACGCCCAAGTGGTAGGCAAATGAGAGAAAAAAGCCCCGTGTTTGTTTCCCACGCAAGGACGGGCTTACTGTAGATCGAGGCCTGGGGGCCCACCATGACTTACTTCAAGCGAACAACCTGAACTTTGCTTCAAGACGGCGCTCAAACCCTACCACCCTACCACATCCCCACCAACGCCTCACCATCCCTGTGCCAACTTGCGGGTGGCGTATCTGGCCTTCTCCAGACCTGACCATCCGTGTGCCTGCTCGAAGGTAATGTACTTCGGCCTCCCTAGGACCCCTATCATGGCCCTACCACGCTGCAAGGATCAGCCAAGAACCTGCCAGACAACCTCGCCTCCCTGGGTGCTGATCATCGCGCACGTGTGTGTGTGTATATATATATACATAAATAGACACATTTGTTTTCTGCGGGCGTGGGTGGTCCAGTGGAATATCTGCACTCCCACCCAACAGGTCAAACTTGACCTTGCCTCCCTGGGCGCCGCCAAGCTTGCGGCTGTCTCTTCTTTTCTGCGCCTCTGGAGTACAGCGGGACGCCCCATCGATGCCATCCAAAAGAGACTTCCCCTCCCCCTGCGCTGCAAAACGTCTTGGGTGGGCTGGATGAGTCCCTGACAAATTGTTTGGTCTTCGACTTGTGGATCGAAAAGGCTCTTTCTTGGAAGCCTCTCAGTAATCCGTCGGGGACGTGCTGGGGGCGTTCAGCCTCTGGGGGCGTTTCGGGGCCGTCTTGGAAGGGAGTCCGTGTAAACAACTGCAGCGGTTTCTGGACTGGGAGATGGAGGGGGGCCACGCGAAATCTTTCAACGTGCGTGAGATTTGCGTTCAAGAATAATGCAAATACAATGTCTACCACTTCTTGGCGCCACCTTGTCAACTTCAAGGCGAAATTGTTCTTCACAGGTGTGAAACCCGTGTGTGTGTGTGCAACCCACGTGTACGGGCGTGGAACCCAACGTGTGTGAAGCCCATGCGAGGTGGACCCCCATGTGTGTGGAACCCCATGCGTGTGAATGCCCATGCGCGTGGAACCTCATGCGGATTGCCATGGATTGCCCGCAGATTGACCTGCGGCTTGTCTTAAGTCAGCTACGTTTGGACAGATGATCTGGAATGCTTCGGTGTTGTCTCGCGGTGGCCTCAGGCACATCCTGGGGCTGCTTCAGAGTGCCCTCTGAAGCCCCCAAGCACACGACGTTCCACCAACACGGGGTTCCACATGTATGAGGGGGAGCGCCAGCGTCGTCAAATAGCAGTGGCCTGGCGTGGGCCTCACGTGGTCCTCTCTGTTTTTGTGGAAGCCCGGTGGAGTCTCGCGATTCAAGGCGCTGTTACTAATACAGCGTCAGCGTTGAATCACCATGGCCGTCGTCGGGATCATCACCGCCTCCGTCATCATCATCATCATCATCATCATCATCATCATCATCATCATCATCATCATCACCATCATCATCATCATCATCATCATCAGCATCATAGTCTTCATCTTCATCTTCATCACCATCATCATCAACAACAGCATCATCAAGATCATCATCATCATCACCATCATCATCTTCATAGTCAACATCATCATCATCATCACCATCATCTTCATCATCACCATCATCACCACCACCATCATCATCACCATCATCATCGTCATAGTCAGCATCACCATCACCATCATCATCAACATCACCATCATCACCATCTACATGCTTACATTTATCTGCATCATCATCTTCATCTTCATCGTCATCTTTCATCTTCATCTTCATCATCATCATCATCATCGTCATTGCCATCGTCATCATCATCACCACCACAATCATATCGCCATTACCATTACCATCATCATCACAATCACCACCACCATCACCATCATCATCATCACCATCACCATCATCACCATCATCAGTATCACCTCCATCATCATCATCCTCATCATCATTACCATCATCATCGATGCCGTCGCATGCGGATACTTCGTCTTCATCGCCACCAACACCATCTCCATCATCTTCGCCAACGACATCGTTGCCGCGCCGTTATTATGACCATCAACTTTATCACCACCACCATCGTCGTCGTCGTTGTCGTCGACATCGTCCCCACCGTCGTCTTCCACACCACCAGAGAAATCGTCGTTGTCGCTGACGCCGGCCAGTTGGGTTTTGTCGGCAAGTTGCTGGCGGGTGGGTGGGATGTTTAAGCAAGCAGAGGCGTCGACGACCTCAAAATCAACAAATTAGAATTATATGTGGAATACACATGGCTTTTGTCAAAAACATATGAGAGAACAACTTCTGGTTACGCTTCACTGGCAGCAGAATCCCCTCCCCCATCACCTCTCACCGCCGGCGACGATGACGGCGACTGCGATGTCGTCGTCGTCGTCGTCGTCGTCAACGGCGTGTCGGTCGGGCGGGACACGACGTCGTAGTTGTCGTCGTCGTCGTTTGCCAGCGCTGGAGCGTGTGGCCGGGACACGTCGTCAACGCCGCCGCCACCGTCGCCGCCGTCGCCGCCGCCGCCGCCACCGTCGTCGTCGTCGTCGTCGTCGTCGTCGTCGTCGTCGTCGTCGTCGTCGTCGTCGTCGTCGTCGTCGTTGTCGTCGTCGTCGTCGTCGGCGTCCTTGTCCTCGTCGTCGTCGTCGTCGACGTCGTCGTCGTCGTCGCCGTCGGCGTCGTCGTCGTCGCAGTTGTCGTCCTCGATGTCGTCGTCGTCGTCGTCGCCGTTGTCGTCCTCGTCGTCGTCGTCGTCGTTTGCTGGCCAGCGCTGGGGAGGGGGGGGGGTCGAGCCCCGCCCGCCCTGGACTTTTAAGGGGGGGGCTCGAACCCCCCGACTATCAATTTGGAGGATGGGGGGGAGGGGGGATTACGACCCCCCCCTCGGAATTTTGAGGAGGGGCTGGGGTTCGTAAGCTCCCCCCCTCGGCTTCCTCCCAACATGCTGAGCAGACGCTCTGTCAAACATAGGGGCCCACGTGAAACCCACGCCGGGCTACTGGTGGTGTCTTCCCAGCTCGTCGCCGCCTGTGCACACGGAGGTGCACTCTCATGATCTCATGGGGTTCTACACGCAGGAGGTTCCACTCACATGAAGATCCACACGCGTGGAGTTCAACACGCAAGGGGCTCCACGCACAGATGGGGTTCTGCACGCGTGGCTGTCAATACGCATGAGCACGACCCACGTCCACTCTTCTCCCCTCTCGCCTGCTCCCATCCTCCCACTCCTCTCCACCCCTTTGTTCTATCTCCTCTTCCCCGCGTCTCCGCTCATCCCTCCTCCTCCTCCGTCCTCCTCCGCTCATCCCTCCTTCTCCTCCGTCCTCCTCCGCCTGCCCCTCCTCCTCTCCTTCCTTCCTCTTCCTCTCCCATCTCATCCTCCCATCCTCGCCCTGGTCATTCGGTTGAGACGTTGGCCGGCGGGCCAGGTTCTGGCAAGCGGAACATCGAAGCACATGATGCACTGGAAAGAAGACGCGGGATTGCGAACGGTGTGTAAG